GGAACCAACGTTCACGGAGCAGTACGCACAGGGTAGCATCTATCGTCCATTCGTAGACGTCGGCCAAGAACACAGTCGCTTGTTCCCTAGATCATGATACAATTACGAACTTCAAACTCCGTTCGATTGGTTGGTTGGCATTATAGCTGGCTGTAATTAGTGTACGAAACTAAGGATGGGAGGGAGCATACGTGTAATGCTCACGTTAATTACCTGACATGTTTAGCATGCATTACACCCACGTATACGAGGTAGCAACACCGACACCCATTCGGCCTGTCTACCTGCCCCGCTGTCACGCTCTCTACCTACAGTCTGCCGTGCGCTCGGAGGGAAGGCTCCCGCGCGGGCGCGCGCGCGCGTTCGCTCGCGTCGCGGCGTCAGGTAATGAGCGAAACGAGGGAATTTTCGGTAACTTGGTAGCGCACGAACTTGAAATTGGGAGGAGCCCGCCGGCTGTTATTAAGGCGGCCACATATCGTTCGCTATCGGTATACATATAGACGGCGGGGCCCCCTTATTGCCGAACCAACCTGACGCTTAGCCCGCACTCTTCCAGTTAAGGAACTATCACGGCGAAACGACGTCCCGAGTAATTATGCGACCGATTCCGATAAATTATTATCCCTGCTGGTAACTACGGGCTTCGACGGCTATCGCGAGCTATAAACTACCATCGTTACAAACTTCCGGGCGCTCGGATTCGTCCGATCGATCGAAAAGCTTTAACGAGAAGGTGGGCACGTTTAAAATTAAACTCGGCGAAGTTCTTTGAAACCGGGCCGGGGGTTGGGAGGGAAAAAAGAACGGTTTCCCGACGAAACGTTAAACAACGACGAACGGATAATTTCTGTAGGCGCGAATACGCGCGGGCCAGATGGTGTTAAAAATTTCAAGGGATATTTGTTCGAACGCAACGAGGAGGTCGATTAATATCATACCGAAGGTAAATGGACGATGAAGAACAATGGATGCGGACGGCCGGGCGCGATCGGGGCTATCCGAAATAATGCATAGAACGTAGAGTGCATGTAACGGAATAACAATTTCCTACTGCATTAATTAGAGGCCGACGAGGCGTGAAATCGAGGTTTACGAAGCGTCAACTAGTTTTACACATCGCGACGGAATAATAACGTCGCGACACGACTAGAATCCCGAATACATTACCTGCGCCGCGGGCGCTGCCAGCGAATCGCTGAAAACCAAGGGATCGGGGGCTTGTAATGATTAACGACAAACGTTAACGTCGAAATTTCGATCGTGTCGCTGCCGCTGCAACTGCTGCGCAAATAACGTTGCCGGTGGATCGGAAAGGACGAGTGACAACGAAAGCTAAATATCTACGAGGGACTATCGGCTTTAGACGTTTCTGCGGCCGAAGTTCGAATCGCGCACGGTCCCCCACATTAAATACGAATACAGTGGGACCTCGCGTCTGCCGATATAATTTCGAATCGACTTTCCGTTAAAAAAAGAATCAATTATACGTCCCCAGGGTCGTTCGGATGCGGAGTCGCGTTCCGGGTTTGTAACGCCAACGGCGGCGGTTACTTCGCGAGCGGTGCAATTTTAATTCGTTAGAAAGCAGGACGTCCGCTCGTGAAATTGCGGTGTGTAATTGCGATCAACCGTGTAATGACCGACAACGGTCAATTAACACTTTCAAGAACGGCGTGTGCCGCGGGTATACAAGAACGCGGGTCACACACGCGACAGCCGGGGTCATCGCGTGTGGATGTGTCCGCGGGTACGTGTTACACGCGACGTAGACAACTGGAATTGGCGTTTTTGTTTCCCGATATCAATTTCGGAGCGACGATGAAAGGCTTTTAATTGGGACTGGCGATGCTGCTGATGGCGACTGAATTGTCCGGCGACAGTAATGGAACGCGATAAATGCGAGTAAATCTCGCCACACGAAAATTCTGTGAACCGAGGCGACGCGTTGCTGTCGAAGAACTCGTTATCGCTTTTTTTTCCTTTTTTCCTAAATAGAATGCCACCAGAAATAAAGTCGTTCTATGGGCAGATGTGAAACCGTATTAGGTGCTTGCAGAAGTTCGTGGAATTTGGGAATGTAGCTGTGTACTTAATCGATGATCGAACGATCGACGCGTATTCATTTTAATCGACATAAATGACGTTATTTTTTCGCAGTCTTCTATATTACCTCTTTTGGGGAATGAAATTATCAATCCATTTCGCGATGGAAGGAAGTCATGTGTTGCATCGATCTGAATAAATGAAATGTACAAAGGAAATAATGTGAAGTTGTTGTAATGTTTTCTGTTTAGCTGCAGCGACTTCAGCAGGATAGCTGTATGTAGAGATTTTTGTAGATAATAAGGAAATTGTTATTTAAAATGATGTAGATAAATCTTAAAATCTTGAAGAAGTAAAAAATGAGCTTGTAATATTGCGCAAGGAAATCAAACTGATAATAACTTATACTTGTTTGCAATTTGACGCATACTTGCAAGCGGCTAGCTAGTTCGTGAATTCTAAAAAAAGGCGCCTTTAAATATAACCACGCGGTATACAGAGTAAATATAGGTAATAGATTTAAATATAGTATCAAATATAAGCAAACCTGCTTTAACATAATGTACGATTAAATACGTTTCCTCTGGACTGATAAGAAGTAATTCACTATTAAAGTTATTTTTAACTCTTTATCTCACTCATAAAATTCGCAGTTTCTTATCGCAGCGTATATGTATATAAAATATGCAACACGCTCGTGCATTTAGAATTAAAATTGTTAGTTATTGAACAATGACTCTTAATTATTGTACACAATAATGATATGTAACAAAAGTTCTATCCGAACATCAAAAGACTACAATCAATTCCAGAAAGTGAAATAATCTGTTCATTAGTATTTTCTATTTCCTCAATATTAAGTTTTTATAACGAAAGTAATGTGTCTTTTATTTACTTTATAAACCGTTTCAAAAGTTCCATATTAGTTATCATTTTTTAAACTATTGATTTCCATTTATTTTAATCATTTTGCAATCATTACTAAACATTTGAATTCTTTTACGCTCAACTGTACAAATTGGACTGGTGTAGGCTTTAAAAAAAAATGAACGAAAAACTAATGAAAAAACAGTGGACTAATGTCCACATTATCAACATTTACATTATTATGGGGGAAACAATATCTCGCGCGAGTTTATTTGTTTCTTCGGTCAATACTTAAGCAGCGTGCTGCGAATGCGAGCGATGTCTGGCTGATCGTAAAATCTGCAACACTTTCTGAATTGTGGTTTAGTCGGTAGGGGTCGACTGCTTGTCAATCGAGAAAATTGCGGATATGGAGCTTCCCCACCGCGGTGGCAAACTGTCATTTCCTTCTACCCGAATAAAACGATTCGCGGCAAGATGGAACACGAAAACCAATATCCGAAAGTTGGCCATAATTTGTTTATCCCGCAATAAGAAAAATAATGTACGCACCAAGGAAACGGCGGAGCTGCATCGGTATTGACTAGACCGGAAATGGGATTATTACCGGTTACGATGAATAAGGGTTGTTCGCTAACGAACGAAATTCGTTTAAAAATATTCCTCCGCTACAAGCATTTTTAACACAAACACGAACAACATGATATTTACCTGCTATATAAATTAATATCAATATTTATTTCTCGAAAGATTTAAATTTAACAAATATAGATAAAGAAGATGCTAGTCGTTTAAAATTCAACTACATATTCAATAGAGGAAATGATGGTAACGTAGCCCCTTAGGTTTTATTTCTTTAAGTTTGGTTCCTAACTTAAAGTGCTTTATAGAAATTTTTGCTTCAAATGTAGACAAACTGATAAAATTATCTAGAATGAAAAAGTAGAAGAAATTAAAGAAGAAAATTAAACATAAAACCATAAAACTTATAGTATATATTTTTTAATATTTCATAGTATTTCATATTTTATAATAATCAAAGATTTGAATGATAAAGTCATTTCACTTAGAAATATCGATTCTATGTATTTTAACTTCAACACTTCGACTTAATTTGCAAGAAATATTTCTTTTTCAGCAAAGAGCAAAAGTTTTGTTTCTTAGATTACGTTAATTGTTAGCAGAAACAAAAATTGTTTCCTACTAGCAGAAACAATGCATCATTTGATTCCCTATCTATAGCAACAAATGATAAGATTAACTGCTAGATAATTTTGTCGTAATAATGACAATCTCAATCATCGAGGGGGCCATGTTACCATTCCTTCCTCCACTATCGTTCCCAAAAGCTTGATACCTTCATATTCTCCCCGAAGCCACGCTTAAAAGACAATAAAGAAAATAGATAAATAAATACTAACGATTACGAAAAGAAAGGCTGGAAAAAGTACTACGTAAATACCTTTGTTAACTCGTCGAAGTAAGTTTTCCACCTCATCACAATGGCTGCCCGCAACAGCTTCCTGATCGACGACACTTGAAACGGTTATATCTCGCTACACAGACTGTATTATTTCCGATTTAAGAGTCGATAACTCAATTTCAATTTGAATTCTCGTCGTATAAAAATATCCCCGGACGATGTTCGCCCATCTGGCGACTACGCGCCGTACCACAGAAACGAGATTCGGACGGTAATGTTCGCCATTGTACCTTTACCTACAAATCGTGCAAATTTACTTCCGATTCTTATCTCCGAAGCGCACGATCCATATTTGAAACGTGACCGAAAGAAACTATAAAGAAGCGCCATAAAAATACCAACGTTCGAAATTACATAATGTACTTACAATATACTTCTCTAACCATTCGAATATCATTCTTGCTAAGAACTTTGGGCGTATTATATTGTTTAAACAATTTAACGGATTAATCATTAATTCATTTAATTTTTCGCGACTAAGATTTGTTATATTTAATAAAAATACCAAATAGTGAAAAATTTTAGTTAAAAATTCGGAAAAGTAATTTAATCCTTTGTGCACTCGAATGGTGACTCTGAGGCACCACTAAACAAAATTGTTACATCACGTTCCAAGATAATTTTTATATTATCAAAGTTTAGATATAAAAAATCTTTAAGAGTCTAACTATTGTACGAGTCACACAAGACTAAATTTCATATGCATAAAATGCACTTTGCCATGTAAAATGGAAATACTATAAGTTAGAAAAATTAATTTAGATTTACAGTTAAAATGGCTTCGAGTGCAAAGGGTTAAAGTAATGGATTGCAATGAATTCTTGAAAAGTGCAATTAGAAGATTAACATTGATCTCAAAGAAGAGATTTTAAGGTATGTAAAAAAATATTATTAATAAAGAAAGATTTGAATGGATCTAGTTTTGACTGTTATGAAATCGTCAGAAGTGTTTGTCGTTCATGGATTAAAGCACGACGATAAAGTTGACAATAAGCGTGAAAAAAACGTCGAGGTAGGAACATGCGATCGAAAGGGAGGTTGCGAAAATTCAGGGTGATTCGTGTTTCACAGCGATTTCGATGATGAACGATCGAGCGGCCGAGATAAATTGGTTAAAATTAAACTCTGGTAGAAACTAACAAAGGAGAAGGGCGGATAGAGAAAGGGTGATGAGAATGGTGGTGGGTATGGGGATGGGGGCGTAGAACGGGCAATGGGCAAACAGTGCGCAATTAACGTGCGACCATTAAATATGTACGCGGGTTACTGCGCCACGATACGTGTGTGCATGCCAGGCACAAATGCATTGGCTATCGAACACTCGCGCGCCACTACCGATCTCTTCTTGCAGCCTGTTGGCACAGCCGCTTGATTAGCTCCGCTATATTTACATATCATTAGCCGAGTGTTTGTCCGAGTCGAGAATTCCCCTCTATCCATCACCGCGTTGTTCGTCAATACGGAAAATAAAAATGATTACCCCGGTCGCACAAATATCGCATCGTGTCGAAAAATCCCACTCTCGGCACTCATAACGTTTATAATCGAATTAGTTTTGCAAACTCGAGGAAGGATTCGTTTAAAATGAAACTATTCGCGAGCTTTTCCGTATCGCCGCTCGTGTTGATCAACAAACTGCTTGCAAGTCTACAGTCCGTTGCATTTCTCAATTTGACTTTATTCATAAAAATACGAATTTCGATCTTAATCTCGTTGCCTACATTGCATAACAATTTTCACCTTTCCTCTCTTCCCTTTCTTTTTTTTTTTTGTTGTGTATCATTTTTTGTTGTTTTTATACATTAGTTAAATGTATTTTGGACAAGCTAGCGGTAATTGTGAAACAAGAAAAAACGAAAACGCAATAAATATAGGATATTGAACGAGTTATCTCAACGATAAATTCGTGATCGGTTATCTCTCGCTGCATAAATCGTAGTGTTCGGCACAATGTAATCGGTGAAAGACATCCGCGTACGCCTCGAATTAAAATGTAGTGAGAATACTGCTACATTATAGTTTACCGAAGGAAATGCTTCCGAAACTCGTAAACGACGCGCTAAACATAATAATGACAACGTTCTTCCTTTCATTCGAAGCATTTACCTCGACGTAAAACGTTAAAAATGAAGGAACAGCTCTATTACGCTTCTCTCGTAAGAAACTCTGTCTGAATCATAACGTTTCATCTAGTTATTAACGTACACGCAACCTTAACGCCTAGTTTTCGATTACGGTAACGAGTTTTGATTATCCTTTTCCTTTTCTCCGTTATGCCTCTTAATTTCAATATGGCGACGTCCAAATCAGTCTATTGAGTCGTACACACATCACGTGCTTATCCATAGAAATTATTGTAAAATGTACCACTTTTAAATTACTATTAAGGCAGTATGGTAATATGACTCAGCTTACGTACGCAGACTTCGTTTTAAAAGTCTTCCTACGTTTTCACAGATCATAATCTGTCGGATATGTGCGTGTTTTCTACACCGTTGGTATCTCGCGAATATCAACGAAACAAGGATTTTAATAATCATAAAATTCACCGGAAATAATAACATAGACAACATTTTTTCACAAAATCACAAAGCACAAGTGGTTCGTTACGTTGGTCTGCGAGCATTATCGATAAATGAACGCGCGAACTATACACAATTAAATTAGGATCATCATTAATTTCCCGTGAAATCATGCTTGATTCAAATGGAAGTAACTCGAACTTGGTCCTCACGGTTCGTAAACTATCACGAAAAAGCCTAATGAACGATCAATAAATAAACGAACATATAACGTGTCTAGTGGAGTAGAAATCATGAATTATATCTTTGTATAGTGTGAAACGCAAAATGGTACGTAATCATCATCGTTATCGATGCAGTAGTAATTACGGTTGATATAACAATTGGATTGCATTGTTTCTGAAGGCAGTACGGAAAGTAGGAACTGCCTAACAAGCTCAATTAGCCATTACGAGTAACCTAATTCTCTTTTCTTCTGTAGGTATCCCTAGATAAGTAACAGACTGAAATGCAGTACTAAACACATACGGATTGAAATTTCTCTCCAAAGTATTTGTTCAACAAAATCCTATCGAACGTAACGCGCGCGCCACGCGAGAAACCACACCGTTTCCGTACAAAATAATCAACCATTGTCATTTAATGAAAGAAAAAAATATCTAGCGATGAGCATAATCAGCACGTTAATACCGCATTCTAATCTAACTAAGTCTAGCAAGTGGCAGCATTGCTACATTCATTTTCCAGCATAGCCGACTCGAACTGTTCGAGCACCTTCATGCTCTCCGGGGATACAGCATTAATGCCCAAACGTTCCTTGTACTCTTTTCCGGACAATCGTCGCCGTGAATACTTAATAGTATCGTTCATCGCTTGTTCCGGAGTGTCGCTGTCGCTGGTGCTACTGCCGCCGCCGCTGCTGCTGGTTGAACGTCTGCCACTGGATAAGTCTTGTCTCTCGGTGTCAGCCTTATCATCAGGAACTGAGACCTCGTTGCGAAGCTCCAAGAAATTGCTTTGTGCGTTACATAGGGATGCCGAATCATGCCGATCCCTTCGATTGTCCGATACAATTTCTGTGAGAGATCCGATACGCCTCGGATAAGTTACGTCAGTTTGAAACGTCCTGGTCAGCGTGGTGTCCTCCTCATCCTCATCGGGCTCGCAATTGATCCTCACGAACGGAGTAGGACGTTTACGTTCATACGTAATAATATCAGCCGTTCTCGTTATCGAACCAGGCATAGAATCAAAAGAATCCATCCCTTTGCTACCATTATTGGGTTTCTTAGTCTTCTTCATCCCAATTCTGTTTACCAGCCAACTGGCAGGTTTCACCTCACGGTTGGTGTAATCGTTGTCAATGGTATCGGTGGACAAGGGCGTCTTGCTAACGTACTCGTTGCTATTCGTATCCTCGTCCGCGACTTCGCTGATATCCAGCTCGTTTCTTTCGGAAACAGCGTCGCTTTTATATACTAGCTTTGCTCGAGATGGCGCTGGTATATGCGCTTCTTCCAATTTCACGTGCTCGAAGAATTTTGTGAGGGCACCGCGCTGCAATTGGACCGGAGATTCGTTTCGTTCGACTGACTCCAGCTGGTAGTCTTGATGGTACAGCTGCTGCCGACAGACGACGGTATCTTTGTCAGGCGAGCCGACGTCTCGTTGCTCTCGAGAATTATCGGTGACGATATAGGACTTGTTATGGCCTGCGAACAGTGAGTGGAGAAGACCACCGGTTCTAGGCCGGTACTTCGGACGACTACTGAACACGCTGCTTGCTTCCTCTGATTCGGTTGACTTAGTGATTTGCAGTTGCTTATCAGATTCTGTATTATCGTAGGTGGGCAGTAGGATTTCCGTGGCTCGGGCGGATCGCAGTGTGTTGACACCGAATTTGTTCCTTGCTTGTCTGGCCCGGGACTTCCGGCCGTTGAGTGTCGATCGTTCCAACTGATACTCGGCCGTGATGGAGAGATTCTCGGTATCGATGATACGGTTGAGGGCGGGTACTGCGCGGTTTGTTTGCTTCTTACGGTTACGATTGACGGCGTCGGGCAGTTGCTTATCGACGAACACAGATGACTGGGCGACAGAGATCTCGGTCTGAACGCGGGGGTTGTAGGCTGGTGCGATTGGCAGCTTGTAGTTGAGCATTGCGCTGTGACTTTGGTCTTCGGAAGACTGGCTTGCCCGTCGAGATGGTTCTGTGATCTTTTTAACGATGAGGTATGACTGATGTTTCTCTGACTGCACGCTACTGACTGGTAACTGATAGGCGTAGGACACTTGAGGTTCTGACCGGTCGATGTAGGCGATGCTTGATCGAGGCAACTGATTGAGGACGATGGAGGAGTAGGGCACGTTTTCTCGTTGTTCGGTACTGATTGTTGTGGAAGACCCGATATCCGACTGGTTGACGGTTGATGAAGCGACGTTGTTTGAAGAGATTGGGATGAGGAAAGTCGAGGAAGGCAATTGACTGATGCCGATGGCTGTGGAGAATCCTCGCTTTTTTTTAGCTGCATCAGCTTTATGAAGTCCAGAATTCGTTTTATAGATCTCTGTGTCTTCTCTTGCTTTCCTAATAATTCCTGGCGCGTGCGATGTTGTAGCTGTTGAAAGAAAAATTATGTCGTTATTCGAGTGAACGAAGAACTCGTCAAAACTGAATAAAACACATCGAAACAAAATTCACGTTGATCTTCTAATTGATAATATTGGAACAATGATGCGCATGCTAGAAATGTACGATGTAACGAATAAATCGAATTCGAATAATTATCGATAATCTAACACATATACTTAATCGTTTAACACGTTTTTTACAGACGAATACGTTATGTATTCGGCTCGAGTAACTATATTTGGCGCTAACAATGCAAACTCAATATACAATTTAAGTTTCAGAATAAAAGACGAACATTTGTTTGAAAATATGAAACTGTTCATGAAGGAAGCATCGTGCATTCCGTGTTTTCACGGATTAACGGATAGAACTGTTGCTGCAGACGAATAGTGCACACATTGAACGTAACGAACAATCTAATTTAAGAAGACTAGTTTTTATATATATGTATATACATAGACTCTACAGTAAGTATGCTAACAGACGTTACACAACTTCAGAGACAAATCGATTTTTCAGAAATTCAAGGTGTCAGTGTCTAATTCTGAAAGGAATCGATATGCCCTTGGAAAATAATATTCAAAAACGAAGGAGATAAGAAAAAACGTAGAGATCTTGCAGGTTCTCACTGATGAAAAAACAAAATAGATAGAAAGTATTTAGTCTCATGAAATAATCGAACAGCATTCCAAATGAAAATAAAAAGTTTATCAATTTTTTTCTACGCAGGCCACAGGACGAACCTGAAGTGACTGGCCGAGTAGTTGTGAGCGTTTTTCCAACTCGTAAACCTGCAATCTCAGATCCGAGTTTCGCTCGCGCAGCTCATATCTTTCTCTCTCTTTCTCCTCTGCAAGATATTTCGCGTTCAATACACGTTGCTTTTTTGTGCCCTATTACTGACGATCGACCAAAAAGTTCTTCTTAATTGCAAATCCTTCAGCCGTATTCGAGGAGCCGGTCTCACTCGCGGACACTTCTCCCGGCAGGCTGCTCTCTCGTTTATTCTCTCTGTGTGCTTACGTTCAATAAAGTCTGCGGCAACGCTGCGATACCTCGTTGCACGTTAAATCTAGAAATTGTGGACCCATGTTACACAATTTCCTGCTCACCATTGAAACAACGTGCCTGTATTATCTACAAACATTTTTCTCTTTTCTCCGGCCATCTTATCTTTTACCCACGAAACTTTTAGTTCTTTCTTTCTGTTACCGTCCAAATGTACACGTCAACTTTCGGTTATCGAATACAACCGGAAGCGGCTTCGTTAAGTGTATATAGGAGATACATTTACTAAATTCCGGACGGTGCCGCGAAGAGATAAGCGTGCCACGAACATTCATAACAAGCTAGTGTCTGCAGGAAACAAGAACTTTTTTGTCAATCACACGATCAACGTTACTACAGGTACAAATCCTTTCAAAAACCAAGGACGATTTACCGAATTCTTCGTCCTTCTTGAACACCGGGCGTCTCTCGTCTTCGTCCTCTTCCCCGTCCTCAGCGTCATCGATCTCTTCCTCTATTAAAGCGCATTTCGGACATATTCTTGGGGGCGCCGGTGATATGGAGTGACAGGACACGTGATAGTTTGACGCGCAATTTTCACATACCGTGAGCGTACCTATTGCAATACAATATCCATATATATCAGGATTCTTAATCTCCCTAAATGTTCCTGGCACAACTGTATCAGTTGCACATTTTAACGCACCTGGATTCCTACAGCTTATACAGACTGCCGAGTCATTACTGATTCTTTCGATAGTCAAACTGGATGGCAGGCCTGGTATATGAACAGCCTTGTTGCCGATCGATTGAACAGATTTCACAGTGGACACAGGCAATTGTATTTGATTCGGCCCATTCTCAACCTTGGTCTTATTTGTGTAAACTTTACTTTCGGTCGTGCTTCTCAAGATATTCGGTCGTGTGGTGGACTTCTGAACTGGAATCAGAGATTTCATCACTGTCCTCGACGGCGGTGAAGTGGATTTCGGTGGTGCAGCTTTTACAGGCGGTGGCGAAGGCCCATTCATACGTGCAGTTGTTTGACGCGTTTGAGGAACATTTCCGGATTGCAGGTACGAGTGTCTTTTACGTTTCTGAAACAAAGACGAATATAATCAATTGTTACAGCCGAAGAAATGGTAGAATATACATTTTCTCGTGTAAGCTGCATTTACCGTTGGCACTTCAAGACTGGAATAGACGAACTGCGGATTGGCCGTACTGCGACGTTTTCTTTCAGCCCTTCTGTTTTGCAACTCCGCGCACGTTGAAGTCGTGATAAGACTAAGAGCGCTCAAGAAATTGATCTTTTCGGTCAACTCGAGTTTGCACTCCTTCTCCGATTCTTCCTTCTCCGACTTTTCATTGGAGTTCTCATCCATAGAGACCTCGATAACATCGTCTTCTCCGGAGATTGTTTCCACGGAACTGCGACGTTCTCTGAAACAGAAAGATTACAAAAATATAAACATACCGATCTGTATTATCAAGTCACACACGTGACAACGTTTATTCGTTCATACATGCATTTATCTATTTTGTATGTCTATTTAAACAATGCTGATCACTTATCTCCATTCGGTGTTACTACTTACTTTCTCGGTATACGGTTCTGCGGAGGCGAAGGCACGTCGCCGTTCCTAACGATTTCCTCGTAGTGCTCTTTTGAATTCTTGGTGTTGAACTTGCTGCCTGCATTCTTCAACTTCGTCTCGTTATTGTTTGTAATGTGATTATTGTTGTTCAGCCCGAGAAGGGAAGCAACGGAAACTTTGGCCCCGTTCGCGTTCTCCGCCTTGAACGTTTCGACCTCTTTGCGCAGCCGCTGGACAACTTGCTTCTGCGTGTTAAAGGGTTGGAAACTGTGAGCATCGCACAGCGACGATCATCGAAAAGTTTCTTGGCAGATCGTGTCGTGGATCGTTTTAATAGCGATTCCCACTGCGGTACGGGGACCGCAACGAATTCTTGTCCCATGAATCTCGAAAATGTCATCGAACACAGCCCGGGACACCATCACCAGGGTGGTTTATGAAAAGCAAATCAAACGAATCTGCCAAGAAAATTTCCCAACATCCGCCGATTATTCTGCGATCGTCGAAGAAACACGATCGGCCTCCTCTCGGAACGCTTCAAAGCGAAACATCGACGCTTTCGGGCCGCTTCGCGAAAGCGCTCCGCCACCCCCGGTAACGCGATATCGCGCTCCAACTTTCGGAAAGAATGAAAGAACAACAAAGATTTGGCCCAGTTTATCTCAGGGTACCGGAGGATTCGTATATTCTACGGGGATGCTGACTCTAAATAATCCGCAACGATATTACGAGAAGCTCGATTATACGGAACGTCTCGACGGAAGTGTCGAACTGCTCTCAGAAGTTCTTGAAAGTAATGTTTAACTGGAGAAACATCGAGGAGGAAGGGATTGAAGAGGGCTGAACACGGTTGAAACGAGCAGGGAAAGCGGTGGAAGGCCGGTCGAGAAGAATGTTGGGCAGGGTGGAAAGCGGGCGACGAGAGGAGAAAGGAAAAAACGTAGAGATTTCGTAAAGAGCTGAAAACGTTTCTGCGGGACATTTTATTGATTGAACCCCCTGCCTCTGCCAGGCCCCTACTCTGCTTCCTTTTCACCCAAGTTTCATTCTCTCTCTTGCTCTCTTCTCTCTGGTCTCCGGCCGTCTCGCACCCCCTCCACCCATTCCCACCCTCGGTTTATATCTGTGTGTACACCCAATGTCTCGTTTCCACCCCCGGTCGTTCTCCCTCTTTACCCATTTCTATCCGTTTACGTATCTCCTTTACTCCCGATAGCAATCCACTTGGATCGGTCGTTTATTGCTGGCGCGGAAGAAGAGGAAAAATGGCCGGACAGAATCATCGAGCGAAGTTAGAGGAAACGGGAAAGATTGAAACGGCTGACGACGAGACGGCGTGCGCGGGGGGAAGGAAGACGCGGAGAGCCCGCGCCGCCGGGATTACCGCGGAAATGTTTAGGAAAGGATGCTATGACACAGCGGAACGCATCCGCCACGGTCGAGGCGCGCCTCGCCTATCGATTCTTCGTCGATTCGGGAATTGGGCAGAGACGCGCGTCCGAATCGATTCTATTATAACGGGGACGTGTTCGACTCGCGGTGAGAATCTATCGGATTTATGTACATACGTATGCAAAAAGTCGCGCGACGGCGGAAGTTTACCGACTGCTGCCACCAGCATCCCCGCGGCCGGGATTCGTTAAAAGTTATTTTTTTCACGGTAGATTGGAGAACCCGGGGTGATCAGAAATGTATTAGGTTCGATACGTCGTCGTCGAGTCAAGCTGCCGGAACCCGGCGAAAGAAATCGGATACGGTGCGCGCGCGGAAACGAAACAATGTCTGTCCCGTTCTATCTGCAACGTGATCGACGAAGTTTGCAAAGGTGGTTGGTAAACTGACTCGACGAGTTCGCTATTTAATTATAACTGTGCATTACTCATTCTAGCGAGTACTCCGCGAAGAAACTGCAAACCACTGCACCGCGCCGCGCCTCGATGCGGAAGCTTACCTCGATAACGTTTCGGAAATTCACGGCGAGCGCGCATCCTACCAAGTTAATCCGTATCGACGAGTTACGGATGCAGTAGCTCGACTTATTTGAATAATAGAAAAATTAGTTGAACCGGCTTCTTTGTGATACCAGCGGAGCGGCTCCAGGATCCAAGCGAAAACTTCTCGCGACGAGCTTGATTCTGTCTGTAACCCTGCCGACGAACATCCTCGAACTTTCCGTATCGGAGCGAGCAAGGTTCCCGGATGATTGAGAAACTCTGAATCTTGCGTGTTATTTCGTGTAAACCGTAAGCAATACTTTCGGGAGTAGTGTAAGGAAGCGTGAATAGGGCATTGTAGAAGTCCCACTGTTATTTGCGCTCGAACGAGTTTCCCGTTTTCCGGACGAATAGAAATTACGATTGAAATGTCGTAGATGAACGCAATTTGTACATATCGATTTTTCGCTCGGCTGTGAAATCGTCCTTCCGTCGTTCTCCGAATGAATAACGGAAGATAAGATTACCTTTATCGAACGTTTGTTCTAACATTTGTTAACTCTGCGCTTCGAATCGATTACATTATTGCATTTTGTACATGTAGATGGGATGAGATTTTTGGGAACGGGAATCCTAGATCTATTTCAGTTCGTTTAATCGATTTTCTTTCAATTACCGGAGTTCTCCGACTCGCTCAATAGTTTTTTCTCCGCGCCTCGTACATTCGTTGCTTTATCGTCCGAACAAGAACGCTCTTGAAACGGATTACATTCGACTCCGGGGCACATCTTATAAGAATCCTCCGTTATCGTGATAATAATTTAATGCGACATCATTTCTATTCGCACGGGACGGACAGGCTTAAATATGGAACGTCCGCGGACAACGCTGGCCTGGATCATCGCGAAAGAGTGAAGCTCGAGGAAATCAATTCTCAACTTACCTGGCATCTTCCCAAAGATACGATGTGCAAGTGAATCTTTTGTATCTGACCGAGAATGTCCGTATTCTGTAAACGAAAGAGAAATAAATCACTCGCGGGCCGTAACATGATTTACGTTTCTCGTAACGTTGTGGTTTAACAACATCATAAAGGAGGGAACTGAACTGTAACCGAACTATTTTTGTAACCGAGCTATAACGGAACAATTGTAATGGCAATCGGTATTTCCGTCGTTAATTTTCCACTGTGAGACACGTCGAAATAAGAAAATCCATGATCGGTTTTCAGAACCGTAGGGAAAAATGAGATAGAGAGATAATGACTTCATTAACTGCTTAAGCATCGTGAACAAGTACTGTTGTATTACAACGATGACATAATAGGTCGGCAGACGGAAGACAATGAATTTACGCGAGCGCGTAACTGATGTAACCATGACTATAGTCCAATTAATTATAGTCTGTTGTGTGACAAGTATTGGTGAATTTTCAGTTGAAACGTGTTCGTCGGAGAATCTGTGGCAGATCGTCACGGACAACCAATATGCTGAATCAATAAAAAAGAAAAAACGAGCAACAGCTAGTGAAGATAGCAAGCCATAGATCAAAGAACAAGAAAACGTTCACTTGGTATATACCATAATATACAGTTAAATCAATTTTTATTCCAAAAGTGTCTAGATCGATACCTATCGATCTACGTTTTTTGCTATTAGCCTAATAACGATAATGACGTTACTCGACTATACAGATCTTCATGTGCATTTGCATACATTTTTATGGTATGAACAAAATTTATTTATGGTATGACAAAAATTACAAATGCCACGAGTCTGCAAAGATCTGCATTCCACTTACGACAATTCTTACGAGTTACGTGTAATTACGTGCTTATTAAAGATGAGACTAGTAAAAAAGTGAAGTGACTTACGTTGGGGTCATCCTTCAACTTGCCCACGCAGATCTGCAATTTGAAGAGAGAATTTCGAATTAATTTTGTACTCATAGTAATTGTTTTGTGTTAGAAAATCGCGAGGCTTTTAGAGCGATGATTGTATCTTGGACCACGCAATGACGTAATTTGCTTACGTGCCGCGCCCTGGTCGTTCACACAAATTTTCGAGTAAAAACAAGCACGCATAAACTTCATATTTTGTCAAAACGAAAATGTCACCCGTGCCTCCTTTTATATTGTTTTTAATTTCAGAAAAAGTTTTATACGTGCCGGTTTAATCCAGAAGTTTCTTTTTGCAAATAACTTTAGTAATATAATGCGTGCTATTTAGTATTGTTAGTACAGATATATAACTTTATAGCAAATAGAATTTACGATTATTCTCTTCTATATAGTCTATATCCACCCATAGGTGTATTATAAAGTTTGTATAGAATTTTGTATACACATTATATTTAATGGGTAATGCGATATATTCAAAGAATAAAAAGAAATTACACAATTATCTTCTGGAATTTTTAAAGGGCTTAGTAGTTTGGATTTTTTATTTACTTAGCAATGTCTTTTAACTAAAAAAACATCATTCTTTAAAATTTCAATATTCTATGCCCTCATTTACGGGTAATATTGAGATGAAAAACTTTATATTCTTAGTTGTTACTAAAGATCAAATAAAAACGAAAATAAAAAACGAAAATAAAGCTGAAAAATAGCTTCATTTAAGATATTTTACCAAAATTTTAAGTAAAAAAAATATCAAGGGTTGAAAGAAATAATTTGTTTTTTTACGAGGCGATTAAAAGGATAGTTATTAAAAGTTTCCCATTTACATGATTTCTGGATATGTTATAAATCTCAACATTTTGAAGAACTTTTTCATTTGCATAATAGCGCGATTGTGCATACATTCGGAAATATTCGCGAAATATTATCGACACTACTTCTATAGTTATGCGTCAGTCTTGTCGCTCTATCCTTGTTTTTGAAGTTGTCGGCAACTGATCACCAATACTAATGCAGTGGAACTGGTAGTTTTTCGCGAATATCTTGGAATCTAAGCAAGAGTACGCCAATACGCAGAAGAAGAAGAGTTGTTCAAAATGTCGAGACTTATAACATATTCAAAAATAATGGAAATCAGAATCTTTTAATAAGTTTGTTTAATTATTTAATATTTCACCTATTCGAACATCTTGAAACTTTCATGCATATTATTTGCGTGACAAAATACTATTCTTGACTCTTTCTCTTTCATCTAACAGAATAAATAACAGAAAAATAACATGAACAATAAATAATAACATTTTGACGTTTCACTCCCATATTACCCCTAAATGAAGGGGTAGAAATCTGAAATGTTATCATTATTTATACTTTAAAAAACATTGCTAAGCAAATCAAAAAGTGAGAACTGATATGGGAGTCAAATATCCATGTTTATGCCGCTGCGCTGGGTCCTTCTACGAATCAATATCATTTCGTACCTACTCCATGATAATCGACACACGTTTAAAATATCCATTGAGCAAGAACTGGTTTGTCCTATCTGGTACACGAATACCCCGAATACGAGTATCGATCTATTTATGTAACCAATGCGACTGTTAAAACCAAGAGTTACTACATAGTTACAAACGTTTAAATCACTTCCATGCATACGTTCGATCACACCAGCGCTATGTGTAAAATCGGTTCTAAAAAAAATAAGGAAACCGCAAGCGTGAATTAAAAACAGATCGAGTTTTATGGATCGGAAGTATCAGGAATTGTGTAACGAAAATATTCAATTTGGAGGAGTTACACGGGACAAGGTCGGTAGAGCAGGGTACAATGCGGATCGCGCGCCGAGAAACTTTTCTTCGCGCGCATATCCCGCCTAGCGTCCCTGCTGGTTAATAAAAGTTCGTTCGTAATGCGCGAAGCAAAATGTACATGTATATTATGATTCGACGATGTTCTTCTGTACGAGCTAATGTACGTTCGAATCGCGTCGATAGAATACCTTGGGACTCTTGGTGCATTTATAATGCAAAACTTACCGACGTCGAAGAAACGTTAACAAAGGATTTGAAAGAGAGAACGGGAAAGGGCAATATTCGAACGATAACGATAAGTTTCGTACCTGTTCAATTGATAAATTGAACGTGCAGTATGAAGCGATTCGCATCAGCATACAATATGTATACAATACACGTCAGAGTACCAGAGATAAAAGAATATTTTCTCAACAGGTAAAGATGTACAACGTTGTACGGGGGAAAACATAGTACAGCGTGGAAGTTGATAGTGTTCATAGAAACATAAGTAGACGTTGTACACGGGTAGGTATTTACCTAACTGTAAATCTGAAGTTTACGGCTGCGTTTCAAAGTAAAGAGGAATTAGGCGAAGATAAAACTAGGGAAAGGAGAAAGAACACGAAAGAAGTGAATATAGGACTATAAAAGTTAGGGTGAACTGAAGTAAGAAGGGGTGGGGGTGGACGGACGGACGGACGAGAGAAGAGAGAGAGAGAAGGGGAGGGGAGAGAGAGAGAGAGGGGGGGAGAGGGAGAGAGAGAAAGAAAAAGCGAGAGGGAAATGAACCGAACAAGTGAGTAACCGAATGAATGAGCGAGAAAGAGATAGGAGCCGTTGGCTCTCTCAAAGTCATGCGACGCATCGGTCGAAACACTCTACCGACAAAGGTTAAGGCCTGACCAACTCGCTCACCTTCGAGTTTATATGATTCCGAAAAAAAAGTGTAACCGCTGATCAGGGTACGATCACGGCATGATTTAAGGCTTAAGGCGAGCGAAAAGTTCTGCAGGAACTTGTTACGCTTCTTTCACTTTCGATAAAACACACATTGCCCGTCCCAACAAACAGGGAACAGTTTTACAAATCCTCGATGCGAGTGAAAGGAATGCCGGGATACTTTTGTAAAATAAATCGAAGGGACGTGTGTGCCATATTAGTGAGTCAGTTTCCGTTCGCGTGCCACAATAAACCGGATATCGCTGATCCCGATCATTATTTCACGGAACTTCTAAGAATTTGCGTCAAAGAAACGAGTTCCGTAAATATAGTATAGGAGGTATGCGTTTATGCAGGCGCGCGCGTGCTTAGTGCGTACATGCGTTCGTTCACGCATTGTGCGTGGGAATGCCAAAAGAAGCGAATCGCGAAAACGAACCAGTTTAAACGAAACTTTAGATCGTGTTTGATTCCCATTCGAGAGCCGTAATGTACCCTTGGGAACAACGGCTTTACATTCGAGTGATGCACATATCGAAACTTTTAGAAAACTTTTCATTTTACTCGTCGATTATCTGGCGAATGTATTATCTAGATTTTTCAATCGGTGGGAGGCACAGCGCGTGCAACAGAAGCAAAAAGTTGCTCGAGGGAGAATCATTCGTTGACTTGCTCGCTCGCTCGCTCGCTCGCTCGTTCGTTCGGCTTCGTACTCTCAATCTTTAAATCGCTATCGACATACATACATGCACAGTCGCGGAACTCACCTGATGATCGCGTATGGCATTTTTCAGTTTGTTTTGCACGGCGAGAATCTCTTCCTGCAAATTCTTCGATATTTCCATGTTTTTATTATGAGATTATTCTGTTTCCTTCCCTGTTCGAAAATCCGGCCGATTTTAGCGAGGGAAGAGGAGGACGGGAAACCCCTCCTCCCTCTCACTCTCACTCTCCCACCAAATTGACGAGAGCAGCGGTATACGCTCCGATCAACCGCACGCACGGCGCGCACCAGCCACGAACTCTTCGAGCCACCGCGACGACACTTGATCGTTTCAACTTAGAATAATCGAACAGATAAAAATGTCACAGACACAGTTTACCGACTCGTCGCGTGAACACATATGCACACCCTTGTTTCACGACACCGATCAGGCGAAATAACGTCGTGAAACCGCGTACCAAAGTGAATTGTTCGCTCATCAACGAGCGTCTGTGCTGCCACCAGCACTGTTGCCTCCGTACACGGACGTGCCAAGTTGCTCGAGGTCCCCTGGCACCCCCTGGCCCTTACCCTCGGTCGTTCTCTCTTTTTCCCTCTCCCTTTCTCCTTCCCTCTTGCCGTGTTGTATGCCCAGGGATCCGACGCGCTCCTTGAAAGCGAGTTTTCGCGCCAAGATCGTACACCGGTACCTGTGCCACGCGGAACACCCTTCTAAAACAATGCTACGATTTTCCTTCCCCTGCACTGTCGTCCATGTTGAACGGTCGCTTCGAGTTGCACCCGCGATATTACGAAAACGCGGAACGTTCAAGGAAAAGATTTTCTCGAGACGGATCTTTTATGATAGTGAACGTTGGTAATGCCGACGACAGTGGCGCCACATATTTGCGATTACGAAACGAAACGGCGTTCACGATAGGAGACAAGCGTGTTTGTTCCCCCGAAGCTCAAAGACGCGTTTCAGAATTTCTGCGCATTTGAAGACACGTCTTAATATGCTCATACTTTCTAGACGTATAAAGTTAGTTTAATCATTATTTCGTGACGTTTTCTATCGCAACGATGAATATTGATTTGCTTTTTTTCAACGAATTCATCTTGAAATAAAGATCTGTTTATAAACACTGCATTAACTTTTTTTGAACGTCTTCTTTTTGCAACATTGTAAAATAATATATGTCCCTAATTTATAGATTTGGAATTATAAATAATTCTGAAACGATGCAGCCTTTTTTTCTTTTGATATGAATTTTTTATCTTTCTAACTTTTGTCGTAATATGACTCTAAATTCGTTGTAAGTACGTATAATAAATGTATTCTTAACATTATAGATTTCATGTAAGCACCGATGGCTGCTGATGTAGAAAATACGAATATGTATATACAAAGTATGAAGTTTAAATCGATCATCTGCACGTGATGGTGGATCACGTGATCTCTTATCACATATCTATGTTATAGGCTACATATATAATTTTATCACTGTGAAAGAATATAAGACTATCTTTATCATTGCAAAATGTGTTTGTATTACAAACAAGAAGGTATTCTCCTTTAACATTAATTTTCGTAATAATTTAAATCGATGAATATTGTTACTTAAGAAAATCCACATATTGAAAACTGTATTAATTTATATACTGTATGGACGTAACTAAAAATATTAAAACAATATACTTCATTTATGTTAATTTTGACAAAATTACGATACATAATACAAGAGCCATAATTCTAAGTTACTTTAACTTTAATTGACAATCTTATAATAATATGCTTTACTAAAGATTACTCTAGAACTGTAGAATTAGGAAAATTATCGATTTTTATATGTATGTAATAATTGATATTAACTAGTGAATTAGTAGTCACTTCGATAAATACGTAAAGAACGATAAGTTTAAACTTTACAGTTACTGAAAGTTGCATTTAAACTAAAATATTGTTTGGGAGTTTGTGACAACTATTCTTCTCAGAATTATTTTAATAAAGTTCTCATTACCTTATTGCCGTTCGTTGATTGAGAAATACGTATAATCTCACCAGAAACAGAACTAAAATTATTATAATTTTATCATTTAACCTTTTAGGATTTACATAGTTTGTTCGTTGGATACTTAATGGACAAGAATTAAAACGTGCGCATGTGCGAACTTTGGAAAAAGTGTGCTTGTTCAAGTCTGTCCAAATTTTTGTGTTATTTATATATTATAAATGCATTAAATTTATTTCACTTAACCAATTAAGTGTGTCTTTCTTTTTGCGGTAAATATCATATTACTATTTAATCCGTATTATAAGTAAATCAAAATTCAATATACTCTTTCAACAATTGAGAGGTTATATTGTGAATCTCCTACCTGTTTGTTTTAAAATATAAACCTATTGTACTATTCTTCAAGTCTGAATAATAAAATTGCATAGTTATTTCAGCGAAAGCAACTTTTAAATCTAGTGAACGGAAAAAACAATAAATAATATACTTACTTTAATTTTAACCTCTAATATACCATAATGATATTGAAGTTAACTAAATAATTATCTGTAACGAAGTCTCCCTATTTAATTGATTATTTTTTTAAATAGTATTAACAATGGCAGCCAAGAGAACTGCAGCTACACAGTTAAATCACGATAATTGGAATGAAGAGCAGGAACCCGAAGAAGCAGGATCATTTGTTAGAGCATCGGAAGATGTTCTTGCGAGTAGAGTTGTTAAAAGAGCTAAACGTCGATTGCAGTCCACAGAGGTAAATAACTTTATCATTTTTTGTTTCTTGATTTAAAACATTTTTTCATTGTAGTAATAATTGTATCATTTTAATATTTTTCAGAATAGTAGCAAAAGTGCGTTTGGTGCATTTACAGGTTTTAAAACTACATTCATGTCATCTACACCACAGAGTACATTTAGTTTTTTAGCTGATAAAAATGCTTTCGGTACAAGTACAAAAACAGATACAAATGCTGATAAATCTCCTGCAAGCAATAGAGCATCTAAAGGAAATGAAAATGGCACAAACAAGGAAGAAACTCCAAAAATACAAACAATATCTAGCACATCTATGAATAAAACGAATGACCAAACAGACCAAAATACAAGTAAAAAGTCTTCTGAATATTTTGCAAAGTTAAAAGGTTTAAATGAAAGTGTAACGCAATGGATTAAAAGTCATGTAGATGCAAATCCATTTTGTATTCTAACTCCGATTTTTCAAGATTATGAAAGGTACCTTAAAGAAATTGAATCGAAGCATGGAAATGAATCTGACAAAACATTAGATACGCTTGAGAAGCCACAAGCAGAGCATAGCAAAGTAATTGATAACAAAGAAAGTGTAAGTTCAGAGAAGAAGGTTGATACTTCTCCATTTGGAGGAGCAAATGCAAAGTCTTTAACATCAACAGAATGGAAGCCTGAAAAATCAATTTTTGGCAACATCAGTACAGATTCCAAATCCATATTTGGCAAATCAGAACATGCTAAAGATAATAATGAGTCTATTTTTAGTAATACAGAACAATCCTCAGACACGCATAAATCTGTTTTTGATACTGTTGGCAAACTGGGTACAAAAAATGTATTTGGAAATGTTAGTTCTGAAAATAATCCATTCCTCAATAAACCATCCACGGATGGTAAATCAGAAGAACAAGGATTAAAGGAAGATTCAAAATCAATTAGTAGTTCCTTTGGCACAACAAATACTTTTTGTTTCGGTCAAAGTTCTACTACTACTCCTACAACTGGTTTTAGTTTCGGGGGGTAATTTCATTATATTTACTAATTATTATGAAAATAATTACTAATAAAACTATTAACATACAAGTAATATTATATAATTTGTAGTGCCAAACCATTTACTTTTGGTGCTCAAGTAGTAAAACCACCAGAATCCGATGATAAGACAGAAAATGAAGGTAAAGATGATGATGATGAGGAACCTCCGAAGGTAGAGATCAAACCTGTTACGGAAGAAGGTGCCATATTTGAGCAAAGGTAATTTTAATAAATGTGTTTATGATAACGAAAAATACTGTTATTTAAATCTCTTACAGATGTAAAGTTTTTATAAAGAAAGATGGCAACTTCACTAGTAGAGGTGTAGGAGTATTGTTCTTGAAGCCAACACCAAATGATAAAACGCAATTAATAGTGCGTGCAGAAACTTCTTTAGGAAACTTATTGCTCAATACTTTACTAACCGAAAGTATTCCAACAAAACGTATAAATAAAAACTCAATAATGCTGGTTTGTTTACCAAAACCTGAATCGTCACCACCACCAGTACCAGTCCTATTAAGAGTGAAGACAGATGAAGAAGCAGATGTATTGATCGAAGCACTTAATAAACATAAGAAATAGGATATATTATAGGTAATATTTAAACTATGCAAAAAAATCATGTTTTGGTTCTAAAACTCGATTAAGTAAAAAAAATCATAAAAGAGGAATATGCCAATATCACATGAGATGGCGACTGAGAAATTAAGAAGACGATTTATTGTTTTCCAATATGAACTTTTTGTCATTGTAGTGATCTTACTTTCAACGTTTAATATAAAGTAATATGTAAAATAGGATTAGAGAAGTTGAATATTTGTTTTATTCTCCATTGTACGAAACGTACGTTATTATATCATTAATGTTGATATAAGAATGTGTAATTATAAAATAAATGTGAAACAG